GCACTTCATCCCTTCACTGGAGGGTCACAGTGCCCATTAGCTTGTTTAGGGCTCTGGGAAATCTGCATTAAAACGAGCAAAAAGTGGCCAGGAGGTACCATGCCCTGGCCCTCGTCAGCATTGCCCGGCCCGGCTCTGTCGATCAGGGATGAGGAGCACCGCTCTGCGGGGTCCGCCCTGCCCCCTCTGACCTTGCTCACCCCATCTCAGCCACACTGGTCCTTCTTCCTGTTGTCAGAAAGGGAGTACCTTGGTCCAACCCCTTGGTACTCCTGGAATGCCCTTCCCCGTGCTGGTTACTTCCTTAATTCAGTTGCCCTCCTTTTTTTTAGATTTTTAATGATTTTATTAATTTATTTTTAGAGAGGGGGGAGGGAGAGGAGAAAGAGAGGAGGAGAAACTTCGATGAGAGAGAGAAACATCAATCAGTCACCTCTTGCACCTGCCTTTACTGGGGACCAAACCTGCAACCTGGACATGGGCCCTGACCAGGAATTGAACCCGTGACCTTTTGCTTCGGGGTATGATGCCCAACCAACGGGGTCACTCCGGACAGGCCCAGTTGCCTGCTTAAATGTTACCTAGGAGAGGCCTTCCTTTCCTGCTCCCCTAGCACCCAGCTTCCCCTTCATGTCTCCCTGGAGCCTGTATCATTCCCGGGTGTGATTACCACCCATCTCTCCCGCTAGAATGTCTGCTCCCTGAGAGCCAAGCTGTTGTTCGTCCTGTTCGTCGCCTCATCTCCAGAGCCTAGGACAGAGCAGTGCCTGACTAATAGTAGCCAAACAGAGTCATTCCCTTACTTTCCTTAGCATTCCTACCGCCTCCCCTGAAGTACTGGTCCACCCACAAGTGTTCCGGTGATGCCCAAACACACCAGGCGCGCCCCCTCGCCTGGATGATTCTTCTGCCTGGCAGCGCCCTGCCCTGGCTTCAAAATCCAGCTTTGGTGTCCCTCCCTGTGAAACTGTCTCCAGAGGTCTGGTCTGAATGAGCTGCTCCCTCCGGCCCCTCCCAGGTGCTTGTGTGTGTACATACCTTTATCACCGGTCAAATAACACGGCTGCAAAGCCTTGTTTGTCTGCCTCTCGCTCACCCGCCTCCGGTCGCTCTGGGCAGGGCTTGGCTGACTCAGTGCCGAATTCTCCGAGCCCGGCCCAGTGACTGCCGCACACTGAATGCAGTGAACAGGCGCTGAATGAAACCCAGCCTTGGGCTCTCCCTGCCTGCGTCCATTCAGCAAGCATTGATTGCACACTTACTGTGTGCAAAGCCCTGAGTTAGACCTTGCAGTGGCCTAGAGATAAAGTAAAGGGTTGCAATCCTAGAAGGGGAGCGGATCCACCTCCAGGAGCCCTAACACAAGTGAGAGTGGCTAGCGCTCACTGGAGCTAGAGTGGGCTCTGGGAATGTGTGTCATCACAGTGACGTGGGTCTGACTCCAGGGGTTGTGAGGGTGAGGGGCCGTGGTTTCTCCCCCAGCAAAGCTTGCCGGGGAAAGTGTTTCACAGGTGAAACGTGAAACAAAAAGCCCCCAGGGACGGCTCCTGAGGCAGGCACTGCAGGGACGAGGGGGCTGTGAAGTGCAGCGGAGGGAGCTTGCTCTTGGCCAGTGGGTTGGGGCAGCTTCGGGGAGGAGGCAGGACTTGACAGGAGGAGCTGGCGGGGGTTCCATGGAGCCCGGGCCTCCGCACAGGCGCGCTGCGGCCCTGTCCTCCTGTTTTGCCCTTGAGAGGATGGACAACCTCCCTTCCCAGTGCAGGCCCTCTGAGACGAGGTCACTGGGCGTGAAGGCCCCTCTGCCTCCTCTTGCCTGCCACTGCTCCTCCCTCCCATAGTCCTCTCTGCCCTGGTCCTCCCTCCCATAATCCTCCCTGCCCTGGTCCTGTTGCCTGGCCTTCTCTCCTCTCTTCCTCCTTCCCCAGGTCATCCTCCAGCACCGCCCCACCCTTCTCCTGCCTTGTTGTCAGGCACCAGGGTCACAGTGTGGTGAGCTAGGGGGTCAGCACCACGACAGGAGCCAAGAGAACCCCTTTCTTGCCAGCTGTGTTACCTGAAGGAAGAAGGAGACAGGCCACGCTCAGAATATCCCCGGGGTCTCCACACGGAGACACAACCCCCACCCCAAGCCAGCTCCCCGGCTGGGGGCTAGCCATAGCTGCTCCCTTGAGGGAGTGTCCAGTCTGAGCGGGGAGCAAAAGCTTTTCTCTGGGGGAGCCTGGGCCACACCTGCCCTGGAGGAAATTTCTTGAGAGCGTTGAAGAGCAAGTGCCAATGAGCGAGGATGAAGAGTGAGCCCTAAGCCTGGGAGGGCACAGAGGGTGAAGGACAGATGGGCAGGTGGGACGTCCCCAGGGCGCTGGGAGGCTGGGGTCTGGGAGGCCGGTGGAGCTGGGAGCCCTCAGGCCTGAAAGGGGAGCCTGAGCTGCCGCCCTCTCAACCCTCTCGCCTCCCCCGTGCCTCCCTCAGGCCAAGGAGGGAGAGGGAGGAAGGGCAGCCGGAGGAAGGCAGTCCTGTCAGCTCAGGGAAGCAGAGAGTTTCCACATGAGTCTGTCAGTCCAGTCCGCTTGCCAGGCTTCCTCCCACCCATCCCCGCTGGTTCCGGTCCTCCCTCCCTGCTCCTGCCCCGGGTCCCACCTGGGGCACCCTGGCCTCTGGGGCTTTGAGGGGAGGGCTTGGGGCTCTGACGTGGCTCTGCCTGGAGAGGTGAGGTGCCTGCAGGTGTCTGGATCCTATGTCTTGGGTCCACCCCAGACTCCTCTGGCTGGAAACCAGTCAGAGGGAGGTGGCTGAGTCTGCTCGTCCCTAGGGAGGGAGCGCCTGGTGACAGGACCACTGGGGGACCCTTGCTTCTGACCCTCCTGACTGGGAGGGGCTCCCAGGAGCCCCAGCAAGGCTTCGGCCCCCAGCTCTGGGAGGCGGAGGGTGGGGCCCCCTTCTGAGCCGGAGGGAAATCATTACAGGGCAGGGCAGGCCCCGGGCCTCAGGGGAGAGGCTGGGGAGGCAGGATAGAGGGCGCAGAGGGTCTCACAGGGCCAGTGTGGCTGCGTGAGCACGTGCGAAGCCCAGACCGGGCGTGCGGCTTGGTGGCAGGGAAGAGGAAGCTGGAGAGGGGCAATTGGTGGTGCACGGCGCGGAGGCCTCGGGGGCTCTGAAGGGAGGAAGGAAGGCTGACCCATTCGCTGCCCCTTCAAACTGGGCCTCGAGGCAAAGGTCGGGGGGCTTTGGAGGTGGGCTTCAGGGAGAGACACTGAAGAGGGGGTGGTGCCTCATGGCTTGTCCTCCCACCCCTCAGTGTGCTTCAGATGCGGTGCTGGAAGGTGGGCCATCCCTGCCCGGAGGGAGGGTGGAGGCAGCAGGCCGGCCTCTGGGGGCCTGGGGCCCCAGGGAGCGCTGGAGCAGGGCATGGGGAGGGGTTCTCTTCACTGCATGTGGTGCCATGTGAGGGTGACCAGCTGACGTGAGGCCTGCCTTTGGCCCACCCAGGCGACCTCAGGCTCTATTGGCTCCCTCTCCTCCCCAAGACAGTCTTGGGGTGCCAGGGAGGCCCTCCTGAGGTCAAACCTCATGAAACAGCGCTGGTGTGCTGGCCTTGGCTTTGAGACCTTTCCCTCCACCCCTCAGCATCCCTAGGACCCCTCAGACTCCTTAGGCAGGGACGGGGAGCAGGATAAGATTGGGGTTCCTCCCTCCTCTCCCGAATAGCTCCGGCTGCCCCACCCTTCAAGCCAGGAGACACCTTTGCAGGAGCGGCCACCCACCCTCTAAGCCGGAAGTCTTTCCAGTACTCTGGTCTCCTTGCAGCAGCTCCAGCTGCACAGAAAGCCCAACTCCCTCCCTGTCCCCGTGTGTGGCAGTGTGCCCAGGCCACCCGCAAGCTTCCTGGGGAGCCAGCCTCGCCCCCCGCCCGCCCATCCCCTGAGCCCCAGCCACCCCTGGAAGCTCCCGTGCAGACGCCAGTGTCCTGGCAGCACCTAAATCGTTAGCGCCGCAGAGATTAGGCTGGTAATCTCCTTGTCAGGTGGTGGCGGAGCCAGCCTCCAGGATGTGGGATCGTGCTGCTACCTCGCAGTGCGCAGGCGCAGCGCTGACCAAGGGGCCCCTGCCCCCCAGATCCTGCTGCTCCTCCCTCATGCCTCCTGGAGGGCCCCCCCCGGAATGGCTTTGTGCAGGTACCGGAGGTGGGGGGTGAGCGTGAGTGGCCACCCTGACCCTCTGGCTCAGCCCTCTCTGTCAGCCCCATCTTGATGGATGTCACTAGCTCTCCAGGTTCCTTCAGGGACGTGGGAGACAGGAATTACCCCTGCTTTACAAATGAGGAAACTGAGGCTCAGGAATTGACTTCCTTTTAAGACTTGGATCCAAAGCTCCTTCAGGTCTCGCCCCCTTGGATACAGGGCTCCCCAGGCCAGGGCCGCAGACTTGGGATGACGCCCAGAGATCTGGCGGGCTCCCCAGGTCAGAGACGGGTCCTCCCTCTCAGCCTGGGGGGCTCCTCAGGGCCACGTTGGACCTGGGCGGGGACATCACTCCGAGTTGCTGCACCCTCTCCCTGGGGACCATGCACGCTGGGCCAGGGGCAGAGCAGCCTCCAGGCCGCAGGCCTGTGGAGCCTTGTCCTGGGCCTTTTCTGGCTTCCAGGGCTGGGTGGGTTCTCCAACTCCTCAAGAATGAGCTCAGAGGCCTAATTGCTGCTGAGGATGGAGGATCACCCTACCCCGGGGCTGCAAGTCCAACACCACCTTTGTTTCTAAACAATGGGCTTCTAAGAGGGCCACCTGCCCAGGCCGGGCTCTGGCAGGGGAGGGGGTCCAGGGGATGCACTCCCCACGTCCATCCTGAGCCCCAGGCCCTGGGCGGCTGATACAGAGGCAAATTACATGGCTGGGGTTTTGGCTTTGACTTCAAGAGCCAGTGACCCAGCCCCCCTGTAGCCTGGCTATAAAGGGCTGCCCAGGGTCTCTGTCCAGACCAGACACTGCTCCTGACCCGTGGACACCATGGCTGCCACCACCAGCATCCGCCAGTTCTCCACCTCCAGCTCTGTGCCCACCGCGGGTTTCTCTCGGGTGTCCACGGTCCGTGTCGGGGGCGCCTGCCGAGCCCCCAGCCTCCTGGGAGCCGGAAGCTGTGGCAACATGTCGGTTACCTCGTCCCGCTTCTCATCGGGCTTGGGGGGTGGCTACAGTGGGGGCTATACCTGCAACCTGGGTGGGGGTTATGGCCCCAGCGTTAGTGTGTCCGATGCCCTGCTGGGGGGCGGTGAGAAGGAGACCATGCAGAACCTCAACGACCGCCTGGCGTCCTACCTGGAGAAGGTGCGCGCCCTGGAGGCGGCCAACGCCGACCTGGAGCTGAAGATCCGCGACTGGTACAAGAAGCAGGGGCCCGAGCCTGTCCGGGACTACAGCCACTACTTCAAGACCATCGAGGAGCTGCGGAACAAGGTGTGTGGGCTGGCCAGCTCCCTGCCTTCTGCCCTCTGTCCTCCTTAGTACCTGCTTCCGACTCATTCCGTCCCAACTCTGGACCTTTGTGAGCTTTTCTCCTCTTACATCTCCATCATTCACTCACTTGACCTGGAACCCAGCCCTGTGCCAGTCACTGGTCTCAGGCCTGGAGGACATCCCATGCAGGGAGGCTGTTTGGAGTGCTCCCTTTCTGGGAGGAGTGTATTTGGGGCAGGCGATGGAGGAGTGAGCAGGGAAGGGCTCAGAACACTGAAGGCCGCAGAAGGCATTCCAAGGACAGAGAACAGCGTGGGCAAAGGCATAGAGGTGGGGGAGAGTTTGATGTTGACCGCTGGGAGTTGAGGCCGGACATCTTCTCACATTCCATTGGCCTCTGCGTCTGCCTGCCTGCCTGACCTCCTCCAGGCAGTCCTCCTGGATGAATGGCACTCCCCAGGTCTTGGGGCCCCTTCAGCACTTTGAGGTTCAATCTATGCCCTGTTTATTGCGCTGATTTCACTGTTTGGCATGTTCTCATGGCTGCTTTTTTTGTGAGCCCCCCTCACTCTCTCCTTGATGGTCACTCGGGGGGGTCCCTGAGGGCAGAGGCCATGTCTCTCCTTGCAGATTGGGGGGAGGGTCCCTGAAGGAGGGAGCTGTGTCTTTCCCCTCAGACTGAAAGCTCCCAAAGGAAGGAATTTCTTTTAGTCTAATGAAGGAGACAACTCTCTCTCCCTCTTTCTCACACACTTGTGACCTCTAAGATCATGGCCTTGGGCATTCTGTGAGCGTGGCACTTGGGTCTTTTGCACAAACCCACCCCTGGAAGGTCCTACCATGTTGCGACCCTCAGAGGCAGGCCAGAAGTCAAAGAGAAACAGAGAGCCAGGCTGGGTGGGGGGAGCCGGGGCGGAGCGTGGGGGCCCGCGGTGGTCAGGCCTGCTCCGTGTCCTGGTGGAGGACCAGGCACGGCGCTGCCTTTCGAGGGGCTTTGCCTGTTCCTTCCTGGGACCTCAGCCAGCAGGGAATTCCTGCATTGCCCGCTCAGAGCCAAGCTGCTGGGAGTGCCAGATCAGATACTGGGCTCGGTCTGGGCAGCGGGGAGCCCCGGTGAGTCAGGGCTTTCCCCGTGCCATCTGGGGTCAGCCAGCTCCTCAGCACTGCGGAGATGCGGAGATGCGCCCCTCAGAGGTGTTTGCAGGTGCCCCACACTGGGCCCTATCCACATCCTGAGCAGGGAGGTGAGTGGGAGGGACCCCCTGAGGCCTGGGATGTAACAAACTGGCCCTGGAAACAGGGCCTGAGCAGGTCACTTCCCAGACCCAAGGTGAGCCCACTGGAGCTGCTTTGCCTGCCAGGGCTTCCCCCTCTTCCACGGCCTGCACTGCAGCCCCCAGCCTTAAACATTCCACATTCTACCTGCCAAGCCACTCCCTCTGGGCCTCGCTCTCCCCCTCAACCCCACAGCCCTTAATTGGAGCTTCTCTTGGGCATTTCTCACAGTAACAATGACTGCAGCTGGAATAACAACGAACCCTCTGCTCCTTCTAGAATATTCCACGTTCTCATTTAAACCTTCTGATGACTCTGCAGGAAAAGAAAACTTGGCCCTAGATTTGCGGTGGAGCAAGTAGTAACCTTGTTAATTAACTAATTAATCTCACAAGTGTTTCCTCGGGGCCAACTCGGCTGGGCACCGGGGCCAGGGCTGAGGATTTTGAAGGGAACGGGACAGGCATGGCCTTGTTCCCTAGAACGCGGAGTTCATTGGAGGAGGAAATAACCAAAGAAGTCATGGAAAAAATCACACTTGGGAGAAGTGCCAATGATAAGAGGGATGGGCAAGGGAGGAGGTGTATTTGGAAGGAGGGATCCAGATGCGGATTTGAGGAGGGCTTCCTGGAGTAGGTAGCAATGGAGTTGAGAGGTAAAGTTAGATAGGAAAGAGGGAGCGAGGTTCAGGTGGCTTGGGTAGTGAGCCCAGTGTTGTTGAGGGTCCATTTGGGTCTCTTTCCTGGCATCGTGGTTCCCTGTGCCTGGACATCGCGCCCTTACCACTCTGTGGGTCCCCCAGGTGGGTCCTCCGAGAAGGACACACTCTCCAAAGGGCTGCAAGGTGGGGGTGTCACAGGGCCTTCCCGGGGCTGCTGAGGATGCCTGCTCATGGAGCCCACCTCCCGCCCCCAGATCCTGGCGGCCACCATCGACAACGCCGGCCTGGTGCTGCAGATCGACAATGCCCGCCTGGCGGCCGATGACTTCCGCACCAAGTGAGTCTGGGCCCCCAGGGCTGCTGGTGGTGGGCCCTGCTCTGCATACCACAGAGCCCTCCGTGTGTACGAGGCGGGGCCTCGCGGTCCTCCATGGCTCATGCCTCCGCCCCTGCAGGTACGAGACGGAGCTGACCCTGCGCATGAGCGTGGAAGCCGACACCAATGGCCTGCGCAGGGTGCTGGATGAGCTGACCCTGGCCAGGGCCGACCTGGAGATGCAGATCGAGAACCTGAAGGAGGAGCTGGCCTACCTCCGGAAGAACCACGAGGAGGTGAGGCCAAGTTAGGAACAAACGCAGGAGAAACGTGCCTGGGAACAAGCAAGCCTGGGGCCTCCGGATATTCCTGGGCCAGGACCACGCTCTGCATCCAGTGCCCATCCAGGGTGGGGGTCTGGCCCTGGCCTGGGCGACCCTTACAGGGCCCTGGGTGGGGCCTGGTGGGCCCTCTTTCCACAAAGGTTCTTTCCATGTCCCTTAAGGCATGGCCCCCTGTGTGGGGGCAATTAACTCCCTCATGAGCAAATCAGAGTAAGAATGTGCATGCTAATGGTTACAATGAATTATAATGTGATAGTCATAGCAACAAACACCTGTCCAGCACATTGCAAGTGAGCCGCAGCAATGATCTCCGCTGACACCGACAGCAGTGTGGGGAGAAGGGTGCTCGTTCTTCCCTTTACAGTGAACACGCTGAGGCCTGGAGGCATTAAGGGATTTTACCCACAGCTGCACGGGCAGCTGCCCTCCAATCTCTCTGACCCATGTCCATATCCGGGTCCTACTCCACCGCTCTGCCACTTCCTCCACCTCCTTTTTCAGAGAACTCTGGATCCCAGGGACCCCAGGTCTCAACCCAGGACCCTGCAGGGGAACTAACAAACCTGTGGCTTCCTTCTCAGCTGCCCTTGGGGCTGGCCTGAGCTAGGGGAGCCCTATCATCGAGTGGGAGGAGCCCAGAGAGTGTCTCCAACTGGCTTTGAGGCTGGTTATAGAGATTGCATTTCCTAAAGCGGTCTGGTCCTCCCAGTCGGCTTGGGGTTGCTTTCTCCCTGGTTGGCTGTGGGGGACAAGGGTGGTGAGTGGGGTTGTCCTGGCTCCTCCCTGCCGTGACAGAGAGTTGCCCTGTCTCCTGCCCCAGCACACATTGGGGGTAGACACCGAGTATGTGTTGGGGGAAATGTTTTATATCCACAGCCTGCGTATTTGAGCCATGACACCTGCTTCCACCTTCAGGGTGAGGAGCTGCTTGCCTGTCTCTGTCTGTCTGTCTGCCATTGGCACCTGTCTCCCTGAGAAGGCGGGCCTCAGGGTCTCCCCTCAGGATGGCCGCGGGTGAGTCCCTGCTCTCCTCTCTGCCCAGGAAATGAACGCCCTGCGAGGCCAGGTGGGCGGGGACGTCAGTGTGGAGATGGACGCCGCCCCTGGCGTGGACCTGAGCCGCATCCTGAACGAGATGCGCGACCAGTACGAGAAGATAGCGGAGAAGAACCGCAAGGACGCTGAGGACTGGTTCTTCAGCAAGGTGGGTGGCCATGGGTGAGCAGGTGTGTGCACACGTGTGCCTGCCTGTGCTATGTGCTGAGCATGGGCTGGAAAACGTGTAGCGCCTCAGACTGTCCTATCTGGAAGGGCCTTCGGAAACAAGTTGGGCCAGCCCTCATGTTGGATGCGGACCGTGAGGCTCAGAGAGGCCTCGGGTGCACACGACCCGCCCCTGCGGCCTGGAGAACAGACCCAGTTCTCCTCACCCCCAGCGAGGGCTTCTCCCGCACAGGCCTTTGTAGACATGTGTGTGTTTGGATGCATAACTCACACCCTTAGAAGATGCACACTGAGCAGCTGCAGTCTCCCTGGACAGGAACAGACACAAAAAGGATAAAATGCAGGGCCTGTCTTTGAGCAGTGCTTGCCACTCGGGAGGGGCAGCCACTGCAAGTGACCACAAAGCAGGGTGATTATACCAAGTTCCCATGTGGGCACAGAGGGTGTCTGTGTGCAGGTGTGTTTGGGGCCCCACAGAGGCCCCCCCATGTGCAGGGGGAGCAAGTCCAGGAGGTCAGGGCTTGGGGGTGGCCTCCGGCCTCTGCCCCACCCCCACAAGCCTTCCCAAGCCCCTGGGGCCGCCCCTCTTCCAGACGGAGGAGCTGAACCGCGAGGTGGCCACCAACACCGAGGCCCTGCAGAGCAGCAGGACGGAGATCACCGAGCTCCGCCGCTCAGTGCAGAACCTGGAGATTGAGCTGCAGTCCCAGCTCAGCATGGTAGGGCTTCCGTCTTCTCCCTGCCTTGTCCCTGTCATCCCAGAGCGGGTTTAGCCTCGTAGACCCCCGCTCGGAGAACCAGTGACCCGGCTCCTCGCAGCCCGAGTTACCCCGCACCGTTCCGGCTGCCCCCACAACGCAACACAGCGGGGCTCCCCTCTGGGTGGGGAAGAGCCCCATCGTGGGCGTGCTCATCCACCCGCACCCTGGCCCACAGAAAGCATCGCTGGAGGGCAGCCTCGCGGAGACTGAGGCGCGCTACGGGGCGCAGCTGGCCCAGCTGCAGGGGCTCATCAGCAGCATCGAGCAGCAGCTGGCCGAGCTCCGCTGCGACATGGAGCGCCAGAACCACGAGTACCAGGTGCTGCTGGATGTGAAGACGCGGCTGGAGCAGGAGATCGCCACCTACCGCCGCCTGCTGGAGGGCGAGGACGCCCAGTGAGTGGGGGCGCCTGGGCGTCTGCTCAAGCGGGCTGGGGCCCCTTCACCCCGGGAGGGGCGTGTGAGCTGCAGCCTCGGCACCAGCCAAGGCCGGGAGGAGGTGTGGAGGCTTGCAGAGAGGGGGCCAAACTGGGATCACCGGCTGAGGGCCTGCGAGCTGACGGCCTCATTGAAGGCCCCCGACTAACAGGAGTAGGCCTTGGGGTGCTGCGGAGGGGTTTTGCCAGGATGGGTGTGTTCAAGCTGTCTCAGAATATTGCTCTGGCTGCAGAGGGAGAATTGCGTCAGCGAGGCCAGTCTGGGTTCTGGGCACCGGCAGGCCGGAAGGCTGGCGCATGGAGTCGGGCAGGCCGGCTGGGAGGCGGGGCCAGAGGCGGGGAAAGGCCTGGGGCTCACAGCGGTACGCAATGACGGGTTGAGCGCAGCGGGACTCAGTGAGTGTTGAGCGAGCACTTGAAGGCCTGGGTGATGATGACCCTGGGTTTCTGGTTCTGATGACTTATGCGTGGTGACGTCATTATCCGGGATGGGATGAGGAGCAGGGTGGCGGCCTGGTTTGGAGTGAGGAGGGTGGATTGGGGCCCTACTGTGAAAGGGCTGAGAGTATCCTGGAGTCTGAGTCTCCAGGCTTAGTCATGCATTCCAGCTTTTTTGTTCCCTCTAGATGGTGAGGTCCATCTATAGTCTAACCACAGTCTCTCTTGCTTTGAATTTATTTGTTAGGCCCTTCTAGATACGGAAAAACCACTTGCTCAGTGGTTTTCCCCCAGTAAATCCCTGGTTAGCTGCCAAGTGCCTCTGGGCCTCCTGTTGGGGTATCCTCTTTCCTTACCCCTGCCCGCTGGGCCTGTATCCTCTGACCCTTGTGGTTGCCGTTCTTTGCCATGCACTCCCAGCTGTGGTGTTTCTGATTTGCTGGGACCTCTCACCCGGGCCTCCCTGGATACTTCTCCTCTCAGGGGCCCGGGTTGACAGGCCCCCCTCTCCCTTCCTGCAGCCTGGCTAGCCAGTACTCTGCGTCCCTGGCCTCACAGCCCACCCGGGAAGGTAAGAGCCTGCCTTGTATTGCCCAGAGGGTGTGGGGGAGTCTGAGGACCTTTCTGTGGGGGAGGCTGGGGGAGGGGCTCCAGCCTGAGATGCCTTGCGCCCTGCACTCTGCCGCCCGCAGCCTCAGTGACCAGCCGTCAGGTGCGCACCATTGTGGAGGAAGTCCAGGACGGCAAGGTGGTCTCCTCCCGGGAGCAGGTCCATCGCTCCACCCACTGAGGCCCCTTCCCACTTGCAACAGCCCAGCCTGGAAGGTCACGAGGCGGCCGTCGCCTCCCGCTCCTAGCCCGCTGCTGCTGAGCCCTGAGCGCCCGCCGGGGCCTCTGCCCAAGAGCTGTTGCCTTTCCGTAGCTGCTTCCCGCAGCCCCTCACAGAGGGGGCCTCCTGAGTTTGCCCCAGTGACCACTATTAAAGCTTTGCCTGAAGTTCAATGCCTCGTGTGGTCTGGTGTGATCATTGGCTTGGGCGGTGTGGGCGAGGGATGGGGAGGAGGAGAATCTGGGTAGCACTTGTCACCTGCCGACCTGTTCTACCCACCCTAGTCAGGCCTGGGGCCCCTGGGAGGATGAGAGGGAAGGAGGCAGAAGGACCAGGGGGTGCGGGCGGGACAGCCCACCAAGCGAGGAAGGTTTCTAAGAATCAGTGCCGGGGGCCCCTTTGCCTCTCGCTGGCCCCTGGGAGGGCCCTTAGATTTTCCAAGGAACTATGCCTATTCTAGAAAACTCCCATCTTTGCTGCCGGTAGGTCTGGGGGAGAGAGGCTGAGCAGGGGGCTTTCTTTCCTAAGGAGTGGTCTGGGATGTTGATGGGCGAGAAGAGGCGGCAGCAGCAGAGCTGGCCTGGGAAACCAGACTGGCCCTGCCCAAATCGGGGGTGTGTGTGGGGCGGGGTGGCCGCTGTACATGTCAGCGTGGGGGGCGTCCTGTTTGCTTTGGTGGCTTGGCAGCCGCCTGGCTGTTGGGGAATCTCTCTCTGCTGCTGGCGGGGCTGTCTGGGCCTGTCTGGGAAGTGGAAGCCATCAGCAACCTGAGACACAACCGCATTCCGCCCAGGAGCCTGCTGGGAGGGACCCTGGGACCAAGGCCGGGCTGGGGGTGGTGGGCAGGGCAGGGCAGGGCAGAGCTGTAGGGCGTCTCAGGGCCCACCCTGGGTCCATCTCAGAGGGGTGCCTGGGGAAGGCTGTGTGTGTGGTGGGGTGGAAACGGCCGGAGGGTCTCAGGAAGACCCCCCTTCTTGGGCAGTGTCCTTAGGCTGGGACCTAAGGTGTGTGCCCCTCACCTTACCCAGAGGCCTCTTGGGGTACAGGAGTGCTAGGGAAGGTGGGAGGGGCACGGCCTTCAGCTCTCCGACTTTTCCTGTACCGTGATGCTCCTCTGCCAGCTGTCATTTCCCCATCCTATAGCCAAGCTCCTCTTTGCCCACCCAAACCCAAGACCCCAACGCCAACCCCCCTGCCCCACCTGTTAGAAGGAGGTGGGGGAAGGTCTGGCTGGGCCACCAGGGAGTCCCAGGGATGGGGCAGACCAGAAAACCGGCCAGATGGGATTGTAGCCCCTGGAGGGCTTCCCGGGTGTCAGGGCTGTGCAGAGTGGGGCCGGTGTGCCTGGACCCCGGGGCTGGGTCTGCTGCTGTGGGATGAGGCGGGAGGCCCGGCCAGCTCAGTTCTGCACGTATGTGCGCAGTGGGACCCTGTCCCTCCCGAGCCCCACTTTCCTCATCTATAAAATGGGGTGGTCGCCTGATACCCGACAGCACTGCTGTGTTGTGTGATGAACCTGGTGGTTGAGGTCCAGTTTCCAAGGTGGGATGAGGGCTCAGTCCTTGCTGTCTCCCAGGACCCAGTGCAGGGCCAGGTCCATGTGATGGGACAGTAACCTCCGGCTGGGGGCTGCTGGGTTCCCCAACTGTTTGCCCCCCTGACACGGGGGCCAGGCTGGCAGGGCTAAGGTGGCAGCTGCCTGGGAGGCCCAGTGATGGTGACGTCCTGCTTCTCCTCTTCTCCGTATTAGGTCATGGGAAAGCATAGCTGGAGGGCCTGCCTGAATCACAGGTGACAGGCTTAAGACCAGAGACACGCACACGCAGACGCCCAACATGGGGGTTCGGAGAAATGAGGCAAAGCCCCACTGGTGGGAGGGGAGGGGGCCCACAGCCACCTGGGAGCTGGCAGACCTCCAGGGGTGATGAAAGCCCAGGGGAATGGAAACAGAGGAGCAAACCTGTTGCAATCGCTACGCCCGCCCACTTGTCTGCCTATAAAGGAGGCAGGTGCGCCCCGGCAGCAACACGCACCTGAGGCTTCTCTCAGCCCACTCGCTCTGTGCCCGCCCGCCCGCCCGCTGCCGCCGCCATGACCACCACCATCCGCCAGTTCACCTCTTCCAGCTCCATCAAGGGCTCCTCCGGCCTGGGGGGCGGCTCCTCCCGCACCTCCTGCCGGCTGTCTGGCAGCCTGGGCGCCGGCTCCTGCAGGCTGGGGTCTGCCGGTGGCCTGGGCAGTGCCCTCGGGAGCAGCAGCTACTCCAGCTGCTACAGCTTCGGCTCTGGCGGTGGCTATGGCAGCAGCTTTGGGGGTGTCGAGGGGCTGCTGGCGGGAGGTGAGAAGGCCACCATGCAGAACCTTAACGACCGCCTGGCCTCCTACCTGGACAAGGTGCGCGCCCTGGAGCAGGCCAACACTGAGCTGGAGGTGAAAATCCGCGACTGGTACCAGAAGCAGGCCCCAGGGCCTGCCCGGGACTACAGCCACTACTACCAGACCATCGAGGACTTGAAGAACAAGGTGGGCCTGCTTGGGGGAGCGGGCCTGTGGGGCCATGACTTCTCTGCCCAAACCTGGAATCTGGCCTGGGGGCTGCCACAGGGCCTCTGGGAGCCCACCTTGGGGCTGCCCTGTGGGTCCTGTTATCCTTTTTCTGGGGCAGCAGGCAGGACCAGAGACGAGCAGCCCTCATGGAGCTGTTGTCAGGCTCAGTGTCCCCATCACAAAGCTCCTTGCCACTTTGTACAGTGATAGGATAAGGTGAATGGACACGTGTAGGGGGCTGGGCTGGGCTCCTGAGGCTGCCAGACATGTGGGCACCTCCCCCCTTGAAGCAAGAGGGGAATTTTGTGCTGAGGTGAGGTAAGGGGTCTAAGTGCCTGACAGCACCTGCTGGGAGGTGGGGACAGGAGAGCGGGGGCGGGACCTCAGGATGCTTCAGGCGGCCTTATTTGGGGATTTTTCTGGCCTCCCCCTCCCTCCTGCAGCCCTCTCAAGGGCTGCGCTGGGTAAGCCTGGGGGGCGGGGCTGCCTGCCGGAGCCCCTGGTCAGGGCTTAACAGGGGTCATCACTTCCGATTTGAAAATGCTCCTTCATGAGGACTCCTTTGGCCTCCCTTTTGGAGGAGACCCTCAGGGGAACCATCTCCCCAACTGTAAAACGTGGGGGTTGCCCCACATGCCCTCTGTTTTCTGGGATTCTGGGAGAGCTTCTGCTCTGTGGCACCCCCCCCACCACCCCATTCTCTGGCTCTCCCGAGTTCCCAGCCTGAGGACCCCCTGGGCTGCCCACTCTGGTTTAGAGTGGAGGCCCCCCACCCCCCTGCCACCCGGCACGGGGTGGGTGCTGGGGAAGGCAGGCCCCAGGAACAGGAGGCAAGTTTCAGCACATTAGACTCCTGCTGGCCCGAACTTTGTCAACAATTACAGCACAGTAAAGGGAGGAGGGTTGGGCAGGAGGGAGCCCTCCTGGAGAAGACAGCATCCTGGCCCACAGGCAGGAAGACCCACCTTGGAACCCTGGACTGGGCCGAGCTGCCCCCACCCAGTGGTCTGACTATTCTCCCTCCTCCCCAGATCCTCACGGCCACCGTGGACAATGCCAACATCCTGCTGCAGATTGACAATGCCCGCCTGGCTGCGGACGACTTCCGTACCAAGTGAGCCTTCACCAGGGCACAGGGGAGGAGCTGGGGCGGTTCCCCACCCTCAGGCTCCTCGGTTGCTTGTGGTCTAGGCCAGGAGCTGGGGGTGAGGGAATCTACCTCTGAGTCCAGGATGTGGCGAATCCCGAAGAAGGTTGCTGGTCATGGCTTAGGCAGGTCATGCAAGAGAGAAAGGGGAGGCAGGAGGAGGAGGGGAGAGGGCCTTGCCCTCACCGTTCCCAGGGCCCCAGGGCTGGAATTTGCTCCCACTCCTTGCCATCATGATTCCTCATAAGCCTTAGAGCCCTGGCCAAGGTAGGGTGCTGGCTGGGACCCGGGCCTGCCAACCCAAGTGTCTAGGCTGATGTCTGAGGTTCTCCCTGCAGGTTTGAGACGGAGCAGGCCCTGCGCGTGAGCGTGGAGGCCGACATCAACGGCCTGCGCAGGGTGCTGGACGAGCTCACCCTGGCCAGGGCCGACCTGGAGATGCAGATCGAGAACCTGAAAGAGGAGCTGGCCTACCTGAGGAAGAACCACGAGGAGGTGAGGTGGAGTGGGTGGCGGGGCTCTGGGGCTGCACCAGGGATGAGACCGAGGGAAGCGTGCAGAGCAGGTGCTCCAGGGCCAGTCACCTTACAGGGCTGCCCGGTGTGTGGGGCCCTGGTCCCCGGGGGTCCAGAGCCAGGGTGCAGGACAGCCTCCTCCTGCTCCCCTGCATCTGGGCGATCTCCCAGGGGCCCACAGGAGGCCTCATCTCCTCCTGCCAACCCCTGGCCTCCCTCACAAGAACAGGAGATAATTGAAGAGGTCCAGTCCTTGTCCTGCTCAAACCCTTGAATCTGGGTCCTCTACACAATAGAGTTTGGAAATTAGAGGGGATATCCTGGGGGCACAGGCCTAAGAATGAGATTTTTATCTTTGGAAAGCCCTCAGCCTAGTGGGGGAGACACAGAACTTACCCTCAGGGAGCCCCAGTCTGATGGTGGAGGCCGAGCACATGCAGAGCAGTGAACAAAAGTCATTAGGAAGGTCAGAGGGTAGAGGACAGGCAGCACAAGGGAGGGGTCCTCGGGAGGGGTCTGGAGCGCTTGTGTGGGAAGGGCTGGGGCGAGAGGTCAGACAAGGCCCGGATGCCCACACTGCAGTCCCTGCCCTCCCCAGGAGATGATCGCCCTGCGGGGCCAGGCGGGCGGTGAGATCAACGTGGAGATGGACGCCGCCCCCGGCGTGGACCTGAGTCGCATCTTGTCCGAGATGCGCGACCAGTATGAGAAGATGGCAGAGAAGAACCGCAAGGACGCTGAGGACTGGTTCTTCAGCAAGGTATGGGCTGCGGCG